GAAACTGCTATGGAGAGGATTTGATGGGTTTAATAGAATCTAAGTTCCTATTCTTTGAAGACCTCCTGTCCTGTCCCTGTTCCTAAATAGTAATCCCTCTTTGCATCAGAGAAAACTTCAGACCTCAGGAAAGAAATTTCTGTTGTGTGCCTCTTCATGGCAGAGGTCTTTTGGGGAAACAATGGAGACTCTTCTCCCTAGGAGAGAAGGAGGAATTCCCACCGATCCTTTAAAGACCAATTCAAACACTGCCTCCTAATGAAGTCTTCTGTTATTGAGTGGCTTGCTTATAGTAACAACCTTCATCCTCAGACCTTGCCTAACACTCTAGCATATGCCTGAATAAAAGCTAGAATTTAGATGACACTCGAAGGTTTGCAAAGTGCTTTACAAATATCTCATTTTATCCTCACAACGACCCTGGGAAGTAGGGGTTATTATTATATCATCCCCATTTTACAGACAGGGAAACTGAAGCAGACAGTGGTAGGGGTGGGGGTGTCTCACTGGTGTGTGACAGTGACTTGCCCAGGGTCACACAGTTAGTTTGATGCCTGATTTGAACTAAGTTTTCACCAGCTCCAAGTCTAGCCTGTTATCCATTGTGCCACCTACCTCCTTCAATTCACTAATAAGTCATTGATTGGGTGTTGTTATTTGTGATTGTGTCCTATTCCCCTACCAGACAGTAAGCTCCTTGAGGGTAGGGACTGTGTCTTATTGAAACTTTGCATCTCCACCAGTGTCTAATGCAATGCTTTGCACACAGAGCTTAATAAATATATGTTAAATTTAGTTTGACAGGTAGCATAGCATTCTGGTTGGAAAAGAGAACGGGAAGGTAGGTATTAATAATAGCTGACATTTATATTAGGTGTCTCAAAAGTCTTAGATTTGGGGATACTTTGTATATGGCTTTAAGGTGTTCAAAGCTCTTTATGTACATTGTTTCATTTGATTTTTGAAACAACTTTGTCAGGTAGGTACTACATAGATTGTTATCCCCATTTTACAGAAAACCACAGCTCATAGAGATTGAATGACTTGACCATGGTTGCATGGCTATGAAATATCTGAGGCAGAATTTAAACCCAGGCCTTTCTTCACTTAAAGTCCACTGCTTTTTCCACTATGACATGTTGCTTCTCTGGGATGAAATCATTGAGAAAGTTTGAGACCAAAAAACCTTTCCCAGACCCACTATCTCCTCACACTGGTTTTCTATCTCTCTTCTGCTTTTTACTGCCAAACACCTGGAAAGATTCATATATATTCACTATCTTCACTTCTTTACCATCTGCTCACTTCTCCTCCCTTTCCAGTTGAATTAAAAACCGCACTACTCAGGTGAAACTATTTTCTCTCTTACCAATGATCTTTTAACTGTTACATGAATATTCTTTTCTCTATCTCCTTATTATGTTGAATCATCTGACACTATGAGCCACCCCCTTCCATTTGGATATGCTCTTCCCATTTGGCTTTCATGACGTTGCTCTCTCCTGGCTTTCTTCCTATTTTTCTTACTGTTCCTTCTCAATATCCTTTCTTGGATCATCACTCAACTCCTACCCCCTAAGCATGGGTGTCTATCAAGGCTTTGCTCTCATCTACCTTATTGGTTAAATTATCTTTTTTTATGTAGATACTTTCCCCATCAATAAAACCAACTTTAATCAATCTCCTGAGCTCCATTCTCAAACTGACTGCTGTATATATCCACCCATATGTTCCATCTGAAGCTCAGACTTAACATGTCTCACCCCTAATCCTGCCTTTTTCTCCAAACTACCCTAATTCTGTTGAAGGCATCATAAGTTTCCCAATAACCTAAGATCAAAACTTTGCAACCATCCCTGATTCCTCTCTTTATCACCCCCTACATCCAATTGGTTGCTAAATCTTATTGATTCTGCCTCTACATCTTCTCTCACATTCATGCCCTTCTTTTCTACTCACACAGCCTCTACCCATATTCAGACCCTCCTTATTTCTTTCCTGGACTATTGTAATAATCTCCAATTTGATCTCCTGCTTCTAGACTGTTCTGGCTCTAATTCATCCAACCCAAGTATGACCATGTCACTTTCCTTAGAACTCCTCAGTGGCTCTGTATTGCACCTAGGGTAAAATACATACTCCTCAGCCTGGCATTTAAGAAGTGTGGAGATCTGGTTTCAGTATAGCTGTCATTTCATGTTACTGCTCATGATACACTCATATTATAGCCAAGTCAGATTGGTGTTCCCTGTGTGTTCTCAAGAGATGGTAAGCTCTTTGAGGACAGGGACTGAAAATTTTTGTCTTTGAAATCCTCTGTTCCAGTGTCTTGAACATAGTAGATAATTAATACAATATTTTTTTAATTGAATTACTGAAGGAATTAGAGACAAAGCCTCTCTGAACCCAGGCATTTAATGCTTGTAAAGCACAACACTTTCTAATGATCCAGCTCTCCTAATCTAGCCATCTGTACCTCCTGCTGCTTACCAAGGGCCTCATCTATTAACTCCCAATTATACCAACTTCCAAATTGTCTTGTGCTGAGGACTGAAGCTATTGCTTTGCTGTGAGGTTTTTGCTGACACCTTCACTGTCTCCTAGACTGAAACACCTTACACAATCACTCCCTGTTTTGTTCCTCTCCCTATTCTCCCTTCCCTTTCCACCTAGTTAGTAATGGTGAGGTCACACTCAGCTTCCCCAACTCCCATGTCTCACCTTACAGAAAGACTGATGATTTTCAAAGGGGAAACACAGACTTTGTGTTTATTGGTAGGAAAGAGGGAAGGCAGGATAAGGGAGGAGAAAGATAGAGAAAATAAGAGTATATATGAACAAGTGAGAACATGAATGTGAAAGTATTGGCATGAGAGAGTTCAGGTTCATATTAACAGGCCTGGAAGATGTGTGTTTGTGTGTGTGTGTTTTTTTGAGGGGAGTGATGCTGAGAGGACTATGAGAGTATGGTACCATGGAAAGAGTGCTGAATTTGGAGTCAGGGGACCTGGGTTCTAATCTCTGCTACTTACTATTTGTATGACCCTGGGCAAATCATGTCATTTCTTCAGTTTCCTCTTCTATAAAATGGGGAGGGCTCCTAAGGTCCCTTCCACCTCTAAATCTATGATCCTAGAGTGTAGCTCCAACTCTGAGAGTGCTTCTATGTGTGACAGTCCCATTGGGAGAGCAGGATAGAATTGGAAAGGTACAGACATCTTTGTCACACAATGAGAAACTGTGTGTGAGAGGACAAGCATGACAGCAAGTGTGTGAGTGTTAAGTAAATGTGTTTTCTAAACCCTCCCCTCCCCAATTCTTTTTAGGAAGGATAAGACTGGTGGACGCTGGTCAAGAGTGATGAAAAATCCCAAAACCCCTCTGGTAGGAGGGAACCAAGGAGGGAGGAATCTAGGGAGGGAAAGACCTTTCCCTTAGGGGCTTCTCTAAAGGAAATAAATGTAATCCCAGCACCCTCAGGACTGAGAGGGGATACTTTTACTGGAGTCCAGAGAATTGGGGTTTTAGACCCCATGTGGGTCAGAGAGCCAAGGGCATCCAACCGAGGCTGGTCGTGGTGCAGGATGCCATTACCAGGATGAGGGTTTCGAAAGGCCTCAGACCACACAGGCAGTGAAACCTGCACAGCCTGTGGAGTGAGCTGGTTTCCCAGTGCTGCTGGCAGAGCCTTGGCTTGGTATGGGACTGGTTCAACATTCTGTCTAGGCTGAGGGCCGGGAGGACATGGGGCCAGTAGACCCCCAGGCCTCAGGGTAGAAAGCATTGTGGCCAGGGCTCCTCCCAATCTACTCAAGGCTCCCTTCTGGAATCCCAGAGCTCGTGGGAAGTCATCTAGCTTGTTGTTCACCTCCTAGGGAGGCTAGCAGTCAAATCATGCTGCACAGACACATCTGTTTTGCATGCAAATACTTTGAGTAAGAAGATGAGTCTGTAAACTCCCCTCACCTCCTCTAACAGTGTTTAATAACGTTCACTGTTGGGAATTCCTTTATCACATCTCACCTAAACCTTTCCAGCTATAGTTGAAGAAAATCCTTATTTAGCTTAGGGTGAATGTGGAAGACTTCACCACAAAGCTCAGCAGACTTCCCAGATCTAACATGCTCCTTTCTCCTTCATCCCTATAAATAAATTGATGATAGCTAAGGAGAACCCAGAGGATTTTGCTATGGGGTGTTTGCTCAGGGCTTGAAATTTCCCTGCTCCTATGTTAGAAGGCCTGACCCCTGCAGGGGATTTCCAAGATTAGGACTATACTGACAGGTGTCTATAGCCTCGTCAAGCCACAATGAAGATAAATGAGAACTGTCTGTAGGCTCTTTACCAATTGCTTGCTCTACCCAGCCCTCAGCTAACTACTCTTCTTGCTTCCCATACAACTTAGATTTTCCCCTCCAACCAAGTTAACTGGTTTCTCACTCTCTCCATTTCCTAACACCCAACACGTCACCTTCTCCTTTCTCCAAGCCTTTACAGAGGCTCATAGCCCTGCTCCACCTAATATCTCTCAAGAAACCCACAGCCTCTATTTGCCTCATTTTGACCTTTCTCAGAGAAATCCCTTTCCCTTTTAGATAAGTCTTCCCTTACCAAGATCAGTCCTACTGCCTCAATCGCCTTTAGACTTTAAAGTACTTATGTTGGCACCATTGCTGAGTTGCTTCCTCAGGGCAACTCCCCTTCTTTGGGGCTTCCCACAAAGCCAAGTATCAGACATTAAGGGAGGCCCATGTAACCCATAACTGGATCATATTGACTGAATTTCCTACAAATTTCCTCTGTTCTAAGCTTGTTGGTTTGGGGAGGGTAGGAGCACATCTTTTTTATGTGTTATATTATACATGGTTTACATTTGGTCTTAAATTTCACATTTGGTGCTTAATTTGCCCCATCCGTCTATCTGTTCTTTGAGTGAACAAGTTCTTCCTACAACCCAAGCTTCATGGAATTACTTTTGACCTAGACAAGAAAGTCCTTACCTGTCTGTTGAAGTCCAAGCCATTTCGATCATTTCCTGGAATGGAAAGAAAACAATTAGTCACTTGAGTGGCATCAGGAGAGACAGAAAGCTAGTAGAGAAACAAAACATTATGGCGCAAGATTGTCTTCACTTTCAAAGAGAAACAAAAATCCACTTCTTTTTTGCCCAAGTACTTTCAACTTACCTCATTCCCTCAAACACAGAAACCCTGGAAGTCTCATCAATCTATCATACAGCCAGTGGAAGAGAGGAGAAAGAAAATGATTTTTGCCAAGGTCACTTATCAGATTTGAGATTTGAACTTGAGACAATGGTTTCTTTTCTGCTACTCAGCCTATTGAGCTATCTACTACTGCTCAGGAATCATCTCTAAAACCCTTCTAACATGCATGAGCAAGAACAAATCAACCGTAGGATCCTGTGGCTCAGAGGGATTTCTATAAGTCATCCTGTCCCTCCTCCTTCAGGCGGGACTCTACTGAAGCCACACCAGAGGCATGGATGTCAGTCCTATTCTTACAGGTTTCCAGGGAAGAAGATCCTGTAACTTTTCTGTGGGCCCAGGATATTTCAGGATCATTGCCATTAGGAAGTTGGTGTTTCCCCACCCACCCACCCCCAGGAGTTAACTATAAATTCTCCTTGTTTCAACTTACATTCACTTTTGAATCCTGACTCTCTAAGTGACTTTGGACAAGTTACTTAACATCTCTGGGCCTCAGTTTCCTCATCTATGGTTGGGGTTGAATGTACAGTTGATATCAAGAAGTGCACACTTTCTCTACTTCAAGGAACAGGCTCTCTTTGGCCAGACTTCTCTTTCTCTTTCCCCCATGTAAAATGAGAGATTGGATGAAATCATCTCCAAGATCCCTTCCATTCCTAAATCTATAATTCTATACAGACAACCATCTTGGAGATATCCTTCTCCATCTTATTTTTTTTTTTGGTCTGCTTAAGAGTGATTTTAGATAACAGTTAAGTCATCAAGCAGAAAGTTGAAAATGGACTCCACTACACCTGAGAAAGCTGAAGTATGCAGAATGAGCACTGGGATTTAGAGGGTGGAGACCTTAAATTCTGCCTCTGACATTGGCTGAGTGATGCTGGGCTGGTCACTCAAAAAGCTCTGAGCCTTTGTTTCCTCATAAATAAAATAGGGACAATAATCCCTGTTACCTCTCTGAGAAGGTTGTGAAGAGCAAATGAGTTAATGTATGTGAAGGGCTTTGCAAATCTTAAAACACTCTATATAAATATCAGTGATGGAGTCAGAGAATATGGCTTTGTCCGTGGCTTGAGCATTTACTAACTGTATGACCTTGAGCAAAACACAGTCTCCCTGAGCCTTCATTTTCTCTTCTATAAACAGAGGGTAATTTTCCTACCTGCTTCATAGGGGCATTGTAAGAAGAGTGCTTTATAAACCTTAAACACTAAATAAATGCAAGCTGTTATTATTATCGTTATTAATTGGTCGGTGTGGAAGATTGACCCCAAGAGCTAAGAGAAAAGTAAGCAGGCTTTCAAAATAGTTAACATGGGTTCCACCTGGTACCGCTTCTCCCAACTTATCTAGAAGAGAAGGCGGAGGAGAGTAGAACTAAAATTTGGAACTGTGGGGAGCAGGCCTGCACAAGCTGCAGCCCACCAAAGGATTTGGGGCAGCCCTGAAAAATGTAGAGCAAAACAGCCTTTGTATGTAGAGGAAATCCTTTGGCAGACCACAGGTTATGCAGGCCTGTTTTAGAGGAATCTAGGTTAGTTCTTTCCAGGCCTCAATTTACTCCTCTGGAAAACATTTTGTCTTAGAACTTAGAGGAGAGACAATTGTTCCAAATGTTCTAAACACGTACCATGTTTCAAACATGAATCAGCCTCCACCATAAAATGACCCATCCCTCTTTGTGATGTCTCTGGAAGGAGATGGGGAGCTTATTATCTGATTTTGCTCAGAAATAAAGTTGACTTCAAACTTTACCAGAGTTGGACAGACAAGTTTGATTATCAGTGCTCATGGAAAAGTATGAACATTACATGTCATCTAGAAATCACACTTTTTAAATCTTTTCTTCTAATCTTTTCCTTCACTAATTCTTTCCTCAAGGATGTCCACAAATACCTCCATTAAAGTGCCTACCCAATGTCTTCTTGTGGAGGTGACCTTGATTCTTAAAGGCTCTTTCACTGGAATATAAACACAGGTAGTTCCTACCAAGCTGGACAAGTTTTCAGCCAAGGACCAGACTAGTTAGTGCTGGTGATGTTTATCACCTAAAAGTTGGCCACTGTATGATGAACATTTTTTGACTCCAGTACTTCATGGAGACCATGAAGTAAGGTGTAGAACTGTGCAACAGTAGAGGGGGCATCCATAACAATTAGTCACTGAGGTTTACAAGCAGCAGGCCTGTCTCCTGACCACTTTCTGGGGAAAGGGTAGATAAGTAATACAATAGCCCAAGTTCAAGAGGGAGAAAGAAGAGAAGGCCAAAGATTTGTATAATCTTGCAATTTACTAATCTACTCCTGAATAATGGAGAGTTGACTGCAAAGATTGAAACTTGTATTCATACTTAAGAGACCCAACATCATTATCACCACCAAGAAAAAAGGCTACTTAGTGGTCATGTACATACAGGTCACTAAGGAAAGCAAGTTCCCCAGAATTGTTCTTTCTGGGTTTAAAGCTGTTGGCTTGGGGAATAATGGAAAAGACATAGACTCATAGGCTTAGATTTGGAAGGGATCTTAGAGGTCATCTAAGACAATGTAGTTAGAGTAGAGAGAGCAGGCTAGGGAATCAAAAGATCTGGGTTCGATTTCTTATTGTAGAATGTAAGCTTTTGGAAGGCAGGGACTGCTTCATTTTTGTCTTTGCTTTCCTAGGGTCTGTCCCAGTACCTTCCATATTTGTTGTCCAGGCGTTTTCAGTCATGTCTGACTCTTCATAACCCCATTTGGGGTTTTCTTGGCAAAGATACTATAGTGGTTTGCTGTTTCCTTCCATTTTACAGACAAGGAAATGGGGCAAACAGGGTTAAGTGACTTGCCCAGGGTCACATTTGCTAGTAAGTGTCTAAGGCCAGATTTGAACTCAGGAAGATATCTTCCTTACTCCAGGCACTCTATCCACTGCCCCACCTAGCTGCCCCACCTTACGTATAGTAAGTATTTAATAAATCTTTATTGACATTGTTGTTAAATTCCTGATTCTGTCTTGGGGAAGATATGTTGGCTTTCAGAGCCCCAGTTTCCTATCTGTAAAATGGAAATGATAATTGCACTCACTACTTCATGTAGCTGTTGAGGTTCAAAATAGTGAACATATAAAATGCGTTTTGTAAACTATACTACAAAAATGTCAGATTTATTATCTAGTCCAACCCAGCCTCCTTTTACAGATATGGAAGCTAAGTTCCAGGGAACTGAAGCAATTTACCCATGGTCACATTGTTGGTTAGTAGTAAAGCCAAGACTCAACCTGGGTCTCTTGATTCCCCATCTTTGCATTGCACTAAGTTACCTCTTATATCTAACACAAAGCAAGTGAATAATAAACATTACTAGCAATGTTTTTGTGAAGACATAGAAGACAAGCTTATTAAACTTGATAAGGGCACAAAGGTTGGAGGGACTGATTGATATACAAAATAAGATAGTCTTAATTTCAAAGTATATATGAATTGAAACTGGGTAAGATCAAATTGTATAGAGATAAATGTAAGGTTCCACATTTAGATCCAAAAAATCACTTGTACAAATATAGGATAAAAGTTTGAGTCAATTTGGAAAAAGAAAACAACACTTTGGTTCTAGTGGACTACAGACTCAATATGAATCAGCAGTATGATACAGCAGTCCTGATGCTAATTAAGTCTTAGGCTGCTTTAATGGTGGTCTGGTCAAATCATGGTACAAGTATCATGTTGAATTCTAGTTACTATATATTTACAAATGGAGTTCATCCAGAAGAGAGTTCCTGGGATGATGAAGACACTAGAAACCACCTCAATCAACCAATCAACAAGCATTTATTAAGTACCCTCTTTTGTACTAGGTACTGCACTAGGTGCTAGAGATACAAAGAGAAAAGGGCAACAGTCCCTGCCCTCAGAGAGCTTACATTCTAATGGGAGAGAATTAATATTCTGTACATTCTAACATGCACATATAGAATACATAGAAGACAGATACAAGGTACCTTGGGAGGGAAGGCACATAGTTGGGGAGACTGGTGGTACAAAAACTGTGCTTGTGCTCAGCCTTGAAGGAAATCAGAGGCAGAGTGGAGAAAGAGCAGCCCAGGCATTAGTTGTGATCAGTACAAAGTTATGGAAATAGATGATGGAGTCTGGTGTTGTGAGGAAGAGCAAAAGACCTTTGTGGCTGGACCTCAGAGTACATGAAAGGCAGTAAGAAGGCTAGAAAAATAGGAGGGGTAAAGTTGCTAGTGTTTGTCCTTTGTTCTCGAAGAGAACCATGATATCAGGGAGGTGATGCCATGACATGCAAGTGAATTGAATTTAAGTGAAGGAGTGCTGTGCAAAGTCTCTAGTGTCACTTTCTCTCCAGAGCCATCGGGGTCCAGTGGCCAGATATAGATCAGAATGACTGGAGATGGCCCACAAGAGGGGAGGAGGGCAAAGTACTGAAGAGCTTTAAATACTAAGCAGAAAAGTTCATTGTTGATCCTAGGGGTAAGAGAGAGCCATTAGAGTTTATCGAGTGGGGGATGGAGATGTGGTCAAAGCTGCGCTTTGGGAAAATAACTTTGGTGGCTGCATAGAGAGTATTGGAGTGGTAATAAACTAGAGGCAGCAAAGAGGCCAATCAGGAGGCTATGGTAATAGTCCAGGTGCTGAGGTGCTGAGGGCTTGAACAAAAGTGGTGGCCATTTGAATGGAGGGAAAGAGACACTATCAAGAAAAAAAGAAACAAAAGTTGGCAACAGATGCCATATGAGGAATGTTTGACTGTGGACATTCAGTCTAGAGAAGAGAAGAGTTGGGAGTACATGGTAATTGCCTTCA